TTTTCTTGATTTACCAATTTTCCCTGAAAGTATAATGTAGCACAGGTAATGCCGTAACACCCTATACAGTATAATATAACCATCTTTTTATAAAATTAAATAATGGACCGAATGCTGATACCATCTTCTTCTAAATGTTTTGACAGTCCTCTGGAAAAATCAACTTCTTCCCTATTACTATTAATGTTGGTCAACTCATTCCTGGGTTTCAAAACCTTACTCAATTTCATTAATTGGAGGATTACATTCATTGTTTTTTCCTCCCTTGCACTAAATTTAGTTATGAATATATCTCAATTCACTTCAAAAATTTGTGATGGCATGTATGGGAAAAGATTTAGTCTACCCATTGTTCATTTTATTAAAAAAGAACAACATGACTTCAAAATGGGGCATCATTTTCATTTAACTTAATTAATTAAAATTAAATTAAATTTTCTCCAAGTTCCACTTCATACTTCATTCTGAAGAGAACTCCACACCTAAGCAATACTATTATGAGAAGATTCAAAGTCCCATATGGCACCTATGTAAGATCTATTTTCTCCTAACTGCTATAATACTTACTTTTTAAAATACTCTTATACATAAGTTAACTCAGACAAAAGTTGCTATCAAGATGGAGCACCAAGTAATCCCAGACAACAACACTGCTCCCTTAGAGGAACTTCTTAATTTCTCCCCTGAAAATTGCTCATACTATTTTGCACACAATTTCTGGGATTCACTTACTACTAATCCAAAAGGTTAAGAGTCCCTACTCTAATAGCAACAAGTATACTATGCTCAGGCTAGATTAATGGCCCAAAGAGAAAGCATTTCACTGAGAGCGTAACATTAATCAGAAGAAACAGTAGGTCCTAAACATGGAACAAAATCCAAAAACTCAATAATGACCAGAATTACTGGTTGGATGCAATCTGGTAAGACTCCCAATACTATGGCCCTGGAATACATTCTGCACCTGGAATAAAACTCACTCCCAGGGGCTGGCTCTCAGCCTAATAGTTAACAAGATGTACATGCAGACTACTCAACCCAGGGGGACACACCCACATACTCTATGGAAATACATCCCTTTGCTTGTTTTGGATATATCAGCAGGAAGGATCGATTGCTAAAGAAGAACATCATGTCTGCTGAAGGAGAGGGTCAACAAGGGTGAGGGAGATTCTCAGTGAGATGGACTGGCACAAGTCACAACAACGGACTTAAACATGCTGGCAATCATGGGGATGATGCAGGACTGGGCAATATTCTGTTCTGTTTATATGAGTTCAACAGGAATCGGAGTCAATTAAATTGCAGCCATCTGTAACTATGCTAGTAGAAACAAGTACAAGATTTACCCCTTAAGGAGCTGACAACCTATAGGGATGCTTAAAGTTTTGTGAAAAGACAGATGGCTCAGTAGGCTAAATTTGCTTATAAAAGTCTTTGTAATTGAGTAAGCATTAAACCAATGACTTTTGTAGGATCTAATACTTTTCCTGAAGATTTTTGTTTTTCAGTTCTATTACTTAATAAAGATCATTATAATAGAAAGTAATCTCCTTAATTTAATAAAACAACTAATCTGCTATCACATTAGTTAGGTGTAAATCTCACGGCAGACTAAATTTTTTTTTCCCTATACAAACTCTGAACTCATGGACAGTTGGTGCTGCCAGGAGGGAAGGTGGCTGTGCAAGCGGGCACAGGCCCAGTGGGCCAGACTCCAAGGAGCACCATCAGGGCCAGGGAGATGATGGTCACTGTGATTATGGCCACATCCAAGTGGATCCAGTTCATTAAGGAAGCTGGCACTCCTCAGGGGCCTGCTGTTTATTACACTGTGATGTTTGTGAATGATAGGATCCAGAACAGCATGGAAACAAAGAAATCATGAATGCACTGGGCATTCCATAGTGGGAGAGATGTCACCATTGTAAATTACACCAAGGTGGTGCACAAAAGCTGCCATGTGCAAAGCTGCCATTGAGTCAGTGCCCTCCAGCCCCAGCCCACTCCAGTGGAGAATGACTGTGGCCCCTCCAGCATATAACTTAACTGAGTACCTGGGTGGCATAAATGGTTTAGCATTTGGCTGCTAACTGAAAGTTTGAAAGTTCAAGTCCTCAGAGATGCCAGAATAGAGGCTTCATGATATACTTCAAAAAAAAAAAAAAAACCACGCATTGAAAACCCTCCAGAGCATAGTTCTACTCTGACACACATGGACTCACCATAAGTCAGAACAGAACAGACATAACAGCAATGGACTTGGCTTTGGTTTTAACTCTTCTTTTATAAATAAACTTTTAAAAATCTAACATAAAAAAACCCAAGGTCAAGCTCATGTGATCTAACATGCTCTTGGCTTTGTTCTACAAGCACTCTCTTAAAACCTAATACAAATAATGCAAATGAACCAATTATCATACTGATTGAATATAATTTCTCTTAGAATCACACATAGATGTTCATTTTATCTAAGTTAAGCATATGTTCATACATTATCTTAGATCAAAATCAAAACTGAAAATTTAGTGTTAAATAATCACCTAGCTTAGTAATTGTGATAGTGAAGGTTATGTATCAACTTGGCTAAATCATGAGTCTCAGTGGTTTACCAAATACTATGTAATCATCCTCCATTTTGTAATCTGATGTGAGGAGCCAACAGGACCTTCCTTAGGCATGTGATCTGCATCCAGTATATATGGATATTCTGACAAAGCTTGGTCCTTCTCAATCCTGCATCCATTTTGTCATGCTCTAACCTCCAGCATCTGGAGGAAATGAGCCTGATCTGCCAATTTTGGGTTCATTAGCCCCTGCAACCACATGAATCAGGGGACGTCTCCAGCCGCCAGCCTCCAGCCTGACCACAGATTTGGGACTTGGCAGCCTCCACAAATACGTAAGTCATTTCTTTGAAGTAAATCTCTCTATATCTATTTATATATACATTTCACTGGCTTTATTCCTCTAGAGAACCGAGGCAAAGACAGTACTAAATATTACTGCACAAACTACAGTCCTCTCGACTGCATTCTGGCCAAGCTTGTTACTATATGTTGTTGTTGTTGTTGTGTGCTATTGAGAGGATTCTGGCTCAAAGTGATCTCACATGTCAGCGCAGAACTTCCCCACAGGGTTTTCTACACTATAATCTTTCCAGGAGCAGATCACCAAGTCTTTCGCCCATAAAAGGGGCTGACTGGGTATGTACCACCAACTTTTCTTTCAGTTAGCAGTCAAGCACTTAACCATTGTACCACCATGGCTCCCTGTTACTATACAGTAACATAGAAACATAACCTAGTAAGGTACAGGAGGTTCTTAAAATTATACAATTATGCCTTCATTTATGTGCTACCTCACTCAAGGACAGATAATTTCTTCTCCACACGCAGAGAGTAATTCTAACCCACAACCACCACCCTCTTACACATACATATGCACGCACATACATATCCATTTTATATTCTTGGGATGTAAAAAGAGCATGGGCCTTGGAATCAGACACACCTAAAGTCAAATCCCATCTCTATTACTCAGAAGCTCATTACCAATCCAAGTTCATTTATGTTTAAGTACTCCTTCACTACCAGACAATTTGTCTTTGCTTTTGTTTTATTTGGCTTCCTTTGCCAAGAGGAACTGTTCCAAAAGCCCAGAGAGCCTGGAAACTGAGTATTAAGGTACTCAAGATTCTCCTCCTTTTTAAAATACTTCCCTAGGAAACATGAGGGGCATCTGAACCAAAGGCTGTTGCTGTTGTTGTTGTTGTGTGTTGTCGAGTCAGACCTGACTCATAGCGACCCCTTCTTGGGTTTCCAAAACAGTATCACTAAGGAAGTATATTGCCCAACCTTCCTTCCGAGGAGTGGCTGGTGGGTTTGAACCGCCAGCCTTCTGGTTAGCAGTCAAGTGCCTGAGGCACTACACTACCAGAGTTCCTGAACCAAAGGCAGTGGGTAGCATTTACTTAGGTGTTTGCTTAAAAATTATTTAATAAATTTTTCATTTGTTTTTGGTACTTTTCAGTATGTACATCGCATATTACAATAAGAAATAATAAAACAAAATGTAATACTTTCCCACCAGTTGTCATCCTCAGCAAAATATATTTTTTTTACCAAGTGTTAAAAATACAAAACTTTTCTTCATGAACTCAAAAGGATATAAGAGAAAAAAGAATTGCCTATTCTGCATGTAATGTAGCACAATATATTCCAGCTCAAGATAGCTAAGTTAGCTAATTTTGTATGTGTGTGTGTTTTACATATAAAGAGAGCTCATATTTATTTCCAAAGAGGATTCTTTGATTAACGAACTGAAAAAATAAAATAAAATAACCTTAAGCAATGTTATAAAATTACAGAAACCTCCATAGAACAAATCACTCTAAGTAGATAACATAAATGAAAGTGATTGCCTTTTTAAAAGATCAAAAGACCAAAAGAAATTCTATAATCTGATACCCTAAAAATCTGTGATATTCCACATCCACAAAAAAAAAAAAAAAAAAAAAAA